TACGCCTTGTTGGTCATTCACAGGTCAGTATAAATTAACAGACCCGGAAAGTCAGCTAACTGGAAGAGCTGGTGATGGGAAAATAAAAAGCAACAAGAATGTAAGGAAAAGAAAAACTGAATAGGGAGAACATGAGCAAAGATGTTGCATATGGCCTCGCTGCATGAATCATCTGATTAAGCAGAAACAACAGAAAATTCACTTGTACATTCACCAAACTTCAGTGGGCACCTATTATTTGCTCTGTGGGGTTTTAAGCACTGGGAAAAAAAGGGGAAACCAGAGAGACAAGCTTATTGTTTTCATGGAACTTACATTCTAGTAAAGAGGGAGTTGAACAGCTAATGAAGACATAAAAGAACAACACATGAGACTGAGCAGATGCTATGAAGACCCAAAGCAGGGTGAGGGCATCTTCTGAGCTCAGAGCTATCCCAGAGGTGCTCAGCAGCACACCGGAAACAGCTCAAGCTGGTGTAGGAAATCCAGTGACGTGTAATCTTCCCAACAACAGGTCTGCTACAAACCAGGGTCTCCCTGTCCCGAGATCCTTGTTAAACACATAGGAAGAAAGGAAGACACCAGGAGGCCACTGAGATCAATCAGCACGCTAACAAAAGGAGTCAATCCTGTGACTAGCTAGGGGTACAAGGAACAAGAAATGAAGAAACCAAGTCGAACGAGACACTGAATATAAAACAAGGGGAACACCAAAACAGGATTATTTTGTTGTAGAGCTGCTGTCCTATACTCCAACTTATCAAAACAAACACATAATGTCAAAATTGAAAAACAAAACTAACTTCAACTGAAAGTGGTCACAAGTTCCTCACTGCAGGGAGAAGGGTCTCGCGGCAGTGTTTTGGTGTTTAAATTTAAATTGAGTCTTATTACTATCTCTATTCTGGCCTTAAAAGGGTACATGGACAATTTTGGTTTCTGAGTAATCTGAGAAACCACAAAATTCACCTGCGAATATATGAAAGCATGACCTATAATCTCCCCATTTGGGAAACTACAATCACACTGTTTTAAACCTTTGGCGTCTGGAATATTCATAGAAATTCAAAAAAAGCATTTTTTTTTTTTTTTTGGAGCATTTCACAAGTGCAAAGGACCTGAAAAGAGGCACACCCTATTTTTGGCATGAAGAAACTCAAGCCCACAGAGGGCATCTTGTCAGAAATGACAGCAGGAACTTGCAGAGCCAGTTCTGGAACCCTGGGTACCTGCCCCATTCAATGCCATCTTCGCAATTTAGGCTATACCCTAGGGCAGTGGTTTACCAGAAACTAAGCAAGCACAGGTAACACCTAAGGGCTTGTTAAACCACCTCACAGATTCCACCCCCACCACACAGCTTCTCAGTCAGTACTGCTGAGGGCAGCTCAAGATTTCCTATTTCTAACGAGGCCCAACGTAAGGCTAACAGCAGTGGTCTAGAACTCAGCTTTTAGACCAAGGTCCCAGACATGTGAAGCAGAGTTTTTGTAAACAGTCTGCTGAGTTCCACTTTGGTCTGCTGCTTCTAGGAAGACCTTTGGAAACATTACTCAAACTCTCTAACCCTCATCCTCCGACATCCTAGTCCAGTTGAGCAAACTGAAGAAAACAATGCCCATGAAGCAGTACCTTGTTCAAGCACCTGACAATTCTTTCTTATTTTAGGGTTGGGGATTGAATCCAGGGCCTTGTACATAATAACCACATACAGACGTGACATAGTCAAAGCTATAAATATTAGGAACATTCTATATTAAAATGTCCCTAACTACATTTTTTCCTATAAACAGTAGAATAGCCTTCAAAACTTCAAATAAACTTCAAAACAGATGAATTCAAAGACTGGCAAAAATATAAATCAATGGAGCATTTATAGGAGCTTTATTAACAATAATCAAATATAGTAACTAGTCCAATCTCCACCATCAAGCAAAAGGATAAACTAATATATGTGTATAACAAAATACTACTCAGCAATAAGAAAGAACCAAAAATTATATATAACAAGAAATCTCCAAATTGCTTTGTTGCATGTGTAAACAACCAGGGGCAACAAGTACATACTGCATAACCCTTTGTATACCACCAGATGCTCTTACAAAGTTCATGAACAGTCAACTGTGCAGTAAAAGAAATGAAACTCCCTTTTAAAGATGGGAACTGAAAAGGACATGAGAGAAGTTTTTGAAATTATGGAAGTATTCTGTATGTTGATTTGAGTGACGACAGCATGAGCATATACATCTGTAAACATTCAACAAAGCAGATACTTAAGATGAATTAAATATTGCACAATATATACATGACTGAAACATTACACAATACCCATTAATATGTATAATTTTTATGTTTTCGTGCATCAGTTAAAATTAAATTTTAAAAGATCTATGCATCTTACTGTTGGAAAATGATTCCATAACATGCATAAAGGATAACACATATGTAAGAAAGAACATGCACATACACATGATAAAATTTTTGGGGTATTTTGTGTTCTCTCCATTTAAAATGAACCAACACTAAGGCAATAGGTCCATTTATATTGATTCTTTCCAGGCCAGTCCCACCTTACATAATCCCATTTGCTACAGACTATTTTGGTCCATCCATCCTTCCAGAGAACTACTATGAAATACAGCAAAATCTTCCCTCAGAAGAAGACATACAGAAAATATCCAGAGTGGCCCTCTTCCTTGTCAGAAACTAACTAACTTAGAGGAACTACAACACAAAATAAAGTTCTTTACTACATGCCAAGTGTGAGCCTATGTAACAAGATTAGACACAATAACAGTAAGACCTAATTCGTTCATCTAATTTTAATCTTCATTTCAATGTAATAGAGAAGATTACAGAAGATTGATGAAGTGGTTCTAGAGCCACTGTTAATAAAAGTGGCAGACAAGCTAACTGAAATAGCTTTCACACTGTAGTGGCTTTCAGTCCATCTCAGTTTCCCAATCTGCATCTTTTTTTGTATCCCATTACACATAGATACACATGCACGTACACTCATACCCCTGCCATGAATAAAACTGTTCACAAAGAATAGTCCTGGATGAAGGAATATCACTTGGAGACACAGCTGCCTTCAAACCTTCCTGAGCAGCTCACCAAACTCTCCTAAATTCCCTGCAAAAGCTCAGGAACCACACTCAGCCTCAGGCAGCATGGTACACACTAAAACAAACCCAAGGCAGAATCCTTTGTATACCACCAGATGCCCACTGCACAGGCAAGTACTCCTCTGTCCTTACTTCAAGGGGCCATGAACTGAGGTCTGCAGCTGCTCCTTTATCAACTGCTTGACACAGTATTTTCTCTGGAGCTTATCAATTCATAATCATTCAGGCAATGCATTAAATTTATAATCCATGTTCCTAAATAAGTAAATAACTTCTCAAACTCAACTGAAACATAACAATAATAGCTGGTCTTTACCGAATATTTATTCTGCATCCGCAACTGCTTGAGCAGGAGCCCCATATTTGCTTATGTAACACCCACAAGCCAGTTTACAGGTTTGCAAGGCAAAGCCAGGAGAGCTGTGCAACGAATGTGGAACAGTCTCTCCCTTCAGAGAGCTCCTGTATAGAAATGAGTACCTATTTGAGGTCCAAGTAAAAACTGCAAGACACTCAACAAAGGAGCACAGCATCTGTTCATGCTGGCAGTATGGTGAAGGACTTCTGGGCGAAATGTTCAAGTGAAGGATAAATACTCAAATGAGAGCGCTTTCCATTTGCTAAGGATTAGACTCTCAGTTCCCAAAAAGCCAGGCCACCCCTATTTCCTTCTCCATTTCATCTGGAAATTCCTGGTTTTTGATGGAAGACCAGGTCGGTCCAGCCATCCTCTCTAAACACATTTAGCCAGCTGCAGCCAGTCCTTACGGAGATATATGGAAACTTTTCGTCATCTTTAACTTTGGTGCTTATGCCCAGGAGAACCTGTGCCACAGCGCTTGACTACACAAGAAATCTCTTTAAAGAGCATATTCTGCAGTCGTCACATGAGACAGACCTTGCGTATATCTAACAGATTCAAGAAACCTACCAACACCAGCGGCCAGCAAACCCACCAGTTTAGAGGCCATTGGTTTTCTGCAGACTTAAAGTGCTTCCCTTTCTCGTGGAAAAAAAAAAAAAAAAAAAAATCAGCCTTTCCTTCCATTCCCTAAGGATGGAGCAAGGACTTAAACACTTGGTAGTTGTGTGACCTTGGGGAAGTCACTCAATGTCAACCCGGGTTTCCTTATTTGTAATATGAGATTTGTAAAAATCACTCCAAGTTATAACTGTTAATCAGAAAGAAATACTGCAAATAAAACTTTACAGACAGCCCAGCACAGAATAGGCTGATAATATGCAGCAGCTATCTTATCAACAGCGATGACAAAGGTGGCAGGTAAACTTGGCCTTGATCCCCGCCTCGGAGCGCAACACCCCTTCCCCGCAGTATCTGGGCAAGGTGCAGACACGCGCGTCACCCAGCTGCGGGGAAAGCTCTACAGCCAGTGGGTTCCGGAGTCCTCACAAGGTCCTAGGCCAGCCACCTGCAGGGGTCGCAGGGTACAGTCAGTTTTCTAAAAGAAAACACTCAACTGCGCTCTCGCCTTCCACGCACCCACTCCTCGGGTCTAGAAACTAAGTGGTGGCGAACAGCGGTGAGCAGTGCCAGGGCTACATGCCCACCGGGACGCGAGGGGCATCCACCTGTCCCGCCTCGGTTCCTCAGCTTTCCTGCAGATATGCGCCAGATCGAACGGCACTAGGATCTGAGGTACCAAATTCGCAACTCCGGCCTGGGACGCCCCTCCAGGTTCCCCAAGCACATGCAGCGCCCCCGCAAGCGCAGGAAGGCAGGCAGTCCGCACCGCGCATTTCCTCTGCTCGATCATTCACCTGCGGCCCCAACTTCCCTCCCGCGCACCGGACGGGCAGGCAGAGGTCGGGTTGGGGGCGCCTTTCTCTGGGTGTCCCGGTCCCGCCCCTTACCTTGTCGGACGGCTTTGAAGGTGACGGCCTCCGCGCAGTTTTCGATGATGCCCAGCACGTCGTAGCGGGGCAAGCCGGACACGCGGATGCCCTGCACCTCCAGCAGCAGCTCGCCCTCGCCCGGCGCCGGGCCCGCACCCCCGCCTGGGAGCCCGGCCGCCGCGGCCGCTCCGAGGTACGCGAACTCCCCGTGCTCCGCGCCGCCCAGCACGCTCAGCGCCAGCTCGCCTCGCGGTCCGCGCCTCACGGTGCACTCGCGCACCCTGCTCGTCCAGTGGTTCTTCTTCTGGATCACCTTCGACATGACGCCTTACACCGCCGCGACGCAAAAGAAGTAAATCAGACGAGAAGGGAGCCGAGGTCCGGTGAGGCAGGTGCCCGGCCCCGCCGGCCGCGCTCACCGCAGGAGCCCCGCTCGGCGCCGAGCGGCAGCCTCTCCGCGCGCTCAAGCCATCGCGGGCAAACTTTCCGGGCGCCCCCGCGAGCTTTGTTTGCGTCCGCAGCCTGGGTCCGCGTCCCGGCGCCGGCCGCGCTGGCCCGGACCAGAGTCCACTCGCGCCTCGCCGCGCCGCGCCGCGTAGTTTTCACCTCTCTTCCTTTCTGCCTCGCCTCCGAGGAACCAGACGCCTTCCCCGCCTTCCCGCCGGCTCAGCCCTCGCGGCGGGCTGCTCCCGAAGGCAGCCGAGTCCGCGCGCTCCCGCCGGGAGCCCGGGGCGGCGCGGGCGGGGGCGGGGCCGGGAGGAAAGCGCGCGGCCCCTTTAAGAGGATACAAAGGCTGGGCTTGTTTTGTTTCACTTATTTTACTTCGCGAAGGGCGCCCGCTGGCGAGCAAGGCGGTGCGCGTGCGCATGCGGCCCACCCCGCCCCTCCGGGGGAGCGAATCCGCGCGGGTCCTAGAGTCCTCCCGGCCGGGGAAGCTGAGCTCCCCTCCGAGTCCTCTTGGATTTCTCTAGGCAGGCACACAGGAGTGTGTACGAGCTTCGGCTGGGAGGAGCGCGCGTGTTTGGCGACTTTTTAGACACAGCAAGCTGGCTTCAGTGTTGAAAATTCCCTTCGAGCAAGCTCGCGCGCCACGCCAGGCCGGGCCGCAGGAGCCCCAGGGCGCCCGTCTGCGCTTCCGCCGCCCGAGAGCGCCCGCTCCCCGCCGTGCGGCGGCGGACCCCAGACGGGCCGAGCGAGTGGAGGAAGCTGCAATGGGGAGCCCTGCTCTGGAGGAGAGCGCAATTTCCGGGACCGGGGGAAGGGTCCTTGGTTAACTGTGGGCTGCTGGCCTCGCAAACGCTGCACACCTGGAATTGCTCAGCAGTGCTGGGGTGCACTGATCGGCTAAAGGGAAAAAGCAGAAAGCAGGGACCTGATCCTAAGACAAAGGAGCAGGTTGAGGAGATCCAAAGAATGCCTAAATTACCTAGTGGGCCGGTACGGTGCGGGGCTCTTTCTCCTCTGGGAGAAGCACATCTGTTCCTAGTTCCAGGAAATAATTTCATCTCATTTCTTTGAATGCCTGCACTCCACTCTTGATACTTTACCAAAAGTTCTGCCTAATCCCTTTATGCCTCGCACTGACCCATCCTGAAAACTGTTTTTCTACAAGAGGAGTCAGCAAACCTGATCTTACTCCACAGGTAGGGTGGGTAAGGTTTATTATCTCCACTTCACAACCTCAGGCACCTATCCAGGGACCTGATGACCAGTCAACTCCCTGCATGGGGTGCATTTGGCTTCCTTTCCCGAGGATACAGTTCATGGCTGGTGTCGCAGCTTCCCCCAGGCACAAGGTGGAGACAATCACCTCTCAGAATTTGCTCCAGGGACCAGACCAGTGCAGCTCTTGCTGGGGAGCAGCGGGTGAAGAGAATGCCTGCTGCGAGGTCATCTCTGCAGTTTCTTCTCTTCATTTCAGGTGTTTAATTCTGGGCATGGGAGACATTCCAAGATACCAGGGAAATGAGCCGGGTGGCTCAGAAAGAATGGAATGCCACAGCAGTGCTGGATGAGAGTGGGATTCCAGGTTTAGGTTTTCTTAGCCGCCTTCTGAGTGCCCTTGAGCGAGTTTCCTGACTTCTCAGCACCTTCCTTTCCTGAAGTCTAAGGAATGTGACTACTTAACAGAGCACTTGGAGACCGCATTCAATGTGTGCCTTCCAGAACTTAAAAAATACAAGCATATATTTAAATACGCTTTTAAAGTACTGTCTGTGGAGTACTACTATTAGTAAAAATAAGGGTAGCATTTTATGCCTCCTAAGATATCCAAAGAGTTCACTGCCTTGTCCTGTTGTCTGTGGTTGCTTGTGATTAAAGGAACTGCATCTCCAGCCTCTTTTTTTGTGTGTATGATCTCATCTCAACCACGCCTGGATTAAATAGGCTGGCACTTCAGATATAAATTTCCAAGCCACATATTCAGCAGTCAGAGCCTTGAAGGTAGGAGCCATCATCTGGACTTTTAAAGCTCACCTTAATTGTGCAGCTGTATGACATTAACCACAGGTTTAGAATCTTGATTCCTAAGCAGGGTTTTCTGTCTAGTATGTAATCCAGGAGAGTCTAAACTTAGTTTTGTTTACTGACATACTCCCAATTCCTAGAATAGTGCCTGTTTCTTCATCAATGTTCAAATATTTGTCAGATGAATCCTTTCACAAAAATGTACAATCTGGCATTCCACATTAGAGAGAATTCTCGGATTCTCTTTAAAATGCCTAGTAAGCTTGACCTTGTATGTTTCCCTTCTTTAAGGTGCCTTATTCTAGTTACACATGATCACAAGAACTCCCCTACCTACCTAGAATTAGCAGTCCTCCGTCCTTCTGCCCTGACTCACCCTCGTGTGAGTCACGCTTTGTGTGTGCTAGGCCAATACTGTAGCACTGAACTACATCCCTAGCGGACACTTTAGGTTTGACATGTGGGAAACCTTGAGAGTACCTAAGGGTACAAAAGGCAAAGAGAGGAACAGAGAGATACTGTAATCCAGGAAAATGAAATAATGTGAACCTTCAAAGAAGCAAATGTTTACAATTCCCCCACAGCCTGGAATGTTCCTTCTGACCCCTGCTGACTGCTCAGTCTCACCCACCCTCATTTCTATGTCCACCAGAGGAATCAATTTCAAGGCCAAAGTCCTAGCTCTCCTACCCAGCTTTTGAATCTTTAGTACTGAAAATCAAGCCTTCCTTAGAATATGCACTGCAGAGGATGATGAACAAATACATGAATGAATGAAGAAAGTGTGACTTTAAATTACATATGACAAAGCCAACTTACATATGGTTAAAAACAGAGTACTTACAGAGGATGTTCTTTTTTTTTTTTTTTTTTTTTTTTGGTACCAGGGGTCAAACTCAGGACCTCACATTCGCCAGGCAGGCACTTATGCCACTGAGCTAAATCCCTAGCCCCATGGATGATTTTCTTGAAAGACCGTATCATCTCGTTTAAAACAGATTTTTACTCAACAAATGTAGAGTTGGCTCCTAGTGTTATGCTGTCCTCATTTATGCTCTGAACTTGGCAATATGTTCTGATGCAAGAAATAAGCTGTAAAATACCTAACTTTGAGGTTTTCCATGTGTCCCATGATAGTTCTATACATTCTTTTCTATAGTCATTGCAAAAACTGAGTAGGAATTAACCAGGGATGGCTTCAGTTTTACCATTGAGCAAAGTGAAGCTAGGAGAGTACTTACAGAAGTACTTAGAGGTAACAAACCGGTGATATAAACTTAGAGGTTCAACACAAACCAGTGCTCAGAACCCTACCCTATCAGAGCATAAGCAGTGGGCTACACCTTTTTTTTTCTCCTGAATCTGTCACATAGTGTAACACAGTAATTTAGTCACTTTTTTTCTGTCTTTTCCTTTTTTATCTGAAGGAGTACAGTGTTTCTCTCTACCAATTTTATTTATTTTTTTTTCGTTTTTATCGGTACCAGGGATCGAACTCACGACTGCCTGCTTGCAAGGCAGGCGCTTATGCCACTGAGCTAAATCCCCAGCCCCTGTTTCTCTCAAGAATGCCATCTCCTGTTCCCCATTGGTGGGCTCTGAGGATATTTAATTACAGGAATGGAAAGAGACTTAGTTTCTTCTGTGTTTGGAGATCTGAGGAATGCAGTACAGGTAATGCACCAAATATCCTCATATTGTTGTCCCATGAGCGTTTCAATAAAGGTAGCAGACTTGGGTAGGAAGTAAACTCTTAACAACCAACTCAAGGGAGTAAGAGCTTATTTTCTTATGGCTAGTTCTAGAAGAAAGAAAAAATTGTGACTATGAAATGTGCATTTCAATTTCTGCCAAATACATTTCTTCCCATAACTTTCCAGCTGTAGAGAAAGAAAGTCATAACTGCATTCTAAAGGGATATTGTGTCTCATTTTCCTGAAAATATGAGGCTAGGAAATCACTTGGTCAGCTGTGGGACAAGTATAAGGACATAAAATTTGGTTTTCTTTTAATTCCTGAATACCATCGAGGAGAAGACAGTACAAATGTTAGTATGAATAGTCTGTGTACAGTAAGGCAACGACTGGATGCTGGTGGCCTGAGCACAGAACGATAAGGGTGGTTGAAGTCAATGCTTCAGACAGATGTTGTCAATGAAGGCCATTTTCTTAGCGATCTTGTGGAAGCATTTTTTTATTCACTTGAGAGCATGTTCTCTTCCTTACTAGGCAAGCAGATATGTAATTTCCCCTGACTGTAGTACTCCTTCCTTCAGTACTTTTAAATAAGCAAAAATAAGTAAAATATTAACTTCGCCATCTTTCAAGACGTCAGATATGAACTAATGTCTTATTTAGTACCCCAGAGAAAGATCTTCAGGAAAACAGGAAGATGTAAACTAATGTTCTGGTTCACAGCTATACACAAAATGAGTTTTGGGGACTGGCAATTTCCAGGTAATTTCTGGTTCTAAGGAACCCAGAGAAACTCCCAAGTTTATTATATTTCTTCTAAAATTTTTCAACTGATTCAGAAGTATGAAACAGTTAAGTATCTTATGTTAGCATAGCAGCATGCATAATTCCCTGAGAGGATGCCTGATGGTATTGCTAATTACTTTGTAAACAAGAGTTTCACATGTTCTTAAGAATATTATTTGATCACCCACCAAATCTAAAATACAGTAATTGGAACATTAAATGCTTAAATAGTGCCACATTTTATTGTTGAAGGTGTTCATTCTCTGATATTTCTTCCTCTTCTTTATTGTATATTTTCAATTTCCTGCACCAAAATAAAACTGAATGGGAGAGGAAGAAAATATATACTGAAAGCAATGCTGGGTAACAAAAGCAAAGCAAGAGGCATTACTAGCCCGGATTTAAAGTTACATTACAATGCTACCAAAATAAAAGCAGCGTGGTACTGGCTCAAAAACAGAAAAATGGAAAAACAAATACAGATGAATGGAACAGAATAGAAGAAGCAAAACAACCCCAGGCATATTC